ACCCTGAACCCTGAACCCTAAACCCTAAACCCTGAACCCTGAACCCTGAACCCTGCACCCTAAACCCTAAAACAAACCCTGAACCCTCAAACCTAAACCCTAAACCCTGAACCCTGAACCCTAAACCCTGAACCTTATAACCCACACCCACACGTTTCACGCACGCGTGCACCTCGACAACCTGTACCTTCACACTCACACACTAACACCACACATGCCCATACGCTACAAGCGCCACCCAGTATGTTCACACTCCCACACTAACACCACACATTGCCACAACGCCCACCCGGCACCCCGTACTTTCACACTCCAACAGTTTGTATCCTACACGCACGCACCCTGCATGTTTAAACGCTACACACCCACGTCTGCGCGTCCCACACCTCGGTGCCTAACTCCGCCATTTTTGTTTACAACTTCAACCACCCGTACTTCCTACCTCCCCTCGCACTCCGCACCACCGCCACGCACATTCCGCCCCCACGCGTGGCGCGCATGCGCGGCCACACGCAGTCCGCACTCCACACTCTCCTGCTCCCTGCACCTTACCTTCCATCTGGCGCATTCTGCGCACAATTACTCCACACATTCCCACCCTTCATGCATGTTTCTCCATTCCATTCCTACATATCCACACCCTTTCCAGCCCTTCATCCCCCCCACCTCTGCCTTAAACGCCCCACTCGCACACCCTGCACCTGAACCCTGAAACCCTAAACCCTACACCTGAACCCTGAACCCTGAACCCTGAACCCTGAACCCTGAACCCTAAACCCTGAAACCCTGAAGCCTACACCCTGAACCCCCCTACATTCATGAAAACTACACCCTCAAACCATAACCCTACATTCATGAAAACTAAACCCTCAAACCTCAACCCCTAAACCCTAAAACCTGAACCCTGAACCCTAAACATTAAACCCTGAACCCTGAACCCTGAACCCTAAACCCTGAACCCTAAACCCTAAACCCTAAACCCTGAACCCTAAACCCTGAACCCTAACCCCTAAACCCTAAACCCTGAACCCTTAACCCTCAACCCTACACCCTGCAGCCCACAGCCTCGAACCCTAGATCCTACACCTTACACACGTCAACCGTGCTCCCTGCACGCTCCAGCCTACAACCTAAACCCTAAACCTTAAACCCTGAACCCCAAACCCTGCATCCTCCACCCTAAACCCTAAACCGTGAACCCTAAACCCTGAACCCTTGAACCCTAAAGCCTCAACCCTGAAAGCCTAAACCCTGAACCCTAAGCCTGCACCCTGCCCCCTCCCCCCTACACCCTGCCGCCTAAGCCCTACACCCTAAATCCTGTACCCTAAACCCTAAACCCTGACACCCTGAACCCTAACCCACGGCACCGTAGACCTTACATATGCACCGTCCCACCACGCAGCTGCAATCATGCATATGCTGCAACATGCGCAGCACCCTGCCCCCATCACGCGCACCATGTAATTCCTGGATCCAACACCCGTACATTCGCCGCAGGTGTGCACGCTACACCATTCACACCACTACAACACCGCCCTACGTTACCGGGTCATATGAGTTCAACACCGTGACGTTGTCGCAACATTATACCTGTGTACCTGCAGCTACACGAACCCTGCAGTGCCCACACACATGCTGCGTGCTTATGCAACCTGTGTTTATACAGCATTCTCACATGCCACATATTGTCTCGCATACACCATATTATGTGCACCCTTTATTACAATCCATGTAACGCCACTACTATAGTCGTATGTGCATCACCCGCACATCACCGTGCTAACCTTATGTGCGCTTTGTCCTTTATTCCTGCACACGATTTATATGTACTGTATACTCATATGCGTTTCCATGGTGCACTATTTTCTGGTGGTCACGTGTGTCGTTTCTGCACACACATTCAGTGCTGTTTTCATGTTGCTTGCTCCTTCTACCACACCGCGCTTATACACCGTGCGCGCAACGACTGCATCCATATCGTACAATACGCACACAAACACCTCAGGCACCATGCCACATCCATGGCGTCACCACACTAACACATCATAGTGCTTCATATCACAACCTGTGCATCCTACATGCGCCACCGCAGTCCTCACCCTCCAAATTCTATGTTCTCCACTCGCACACACCAAGACCTCCTACGCGCAACACCTGCAACCGTCCATACCCAACAACCTGTACACACCATGCTACATCCTTGAGGCCCCTACCTACAGGTCACAATAACTCACACCACAAACAACTGCATTCTCCCGCGCCCCGTGTTCCTATATACCTTTCCACATTTACCTCCTGCATCCGCGCTCATACCTTCTACACATCAGCACGCGCTACTTGCTGCCTGCTACCCCGTACCTCCTCATTACGCAAACTTACTTCGTCCACCTGCACACACCCACGTTCTCCACCCGTGACTTTCCTTGTGCACCTCCACACCTGCCTCCTACAACCGTCCCCCACACCAATAACATCCCCGTCAAATATTTACGCCCACGGGCATTAGCCACACGTGCCCCCATACACAGCGCCCCCTATAAACCCTTAGCCCTACAAACACTGCCCCCATGTGTTCACCCGCCATGCGTGCCCTCCACACACTAAAGCCCGGCCCATGACGCGTACACTCGCTCAGGTCTAACCCCTGCACCCTCATGCCTCCGATATACGCTGGCCCACATAGCACGCTCTACTGTTCACAACTCCTACGTCCTGGGCTCCAGAACAACCACGCACCTCCCGCAATCCTACATCCACAGGTTCCAACCTCCACATACCACCACCACGCACGCACCCCACAAACCTTCTATCCTCACACGCACACACCTAGGTGTTCATGTACACAACACACCTGCAGGCCGCCCATTAACCACACGTACCACCTCACACTCCAACACTCTACACCCTCATACTACAAACACTTGTTCATCATGTCCCCAAATCCCGCTGCTACCATCAAACCACACCTAGGTCCTCCTACGCACCCACGCTACGCGTAACTTCATACATCTCTAGGTCCTACACCCCACACTACCCATGGTCCCTACGCTTACACCCAAACATAGCTGCTCATGCAAGCAACAGCTCCCGGTCCTCCCACTTCACAACGCTAGGTCCCAACTCTACGCGCCCCACGTACTGATCTCGCAAACTGCTAACACGTACAACCCACAACCACCTTATATCCTACGCTCACAACATGCTCCACTACACGCTTCCACACGCACCCTACGCCATGAGCTCTGCCAAGCTTAGGTTTTCATTCGCCCACACCTTAGCCACTGAGCTTCAACCACCGCAGGTTTCGAGCTTCCACCAAACCCTAGGTTCCGCGCTTACGCACCACCCTAGTCTCTGCGTGTACAACCACCCCTATTCCCGCACCTTCCACACAACCCTCGGCCTTGAGCTTAAACCCAACGTACGCCTGCTCCCAAATAACACCCTACATGCTGTCCTCCACATCCCCTAGGTCCTTAGACGACCATACCCTACGCCCTGAAAGGAAAATACCATACGTCCTGCACTCCCCATACGCTACCACCTGCGCTTCAAACAACACCCACCATGCTGTCCTGCCAGTACTGTCCGTCCTGCACCACCCATACCCTACTTCCTGTACTGCACATACCGTCGCTTATACTGTCCTACAACACCCTAGGTCCTTCGCTCAACACATACACTGCCTCCTACGCTCACCACCTTATATCATAACCAGGGCCACCCACATCCTATACACCGCACATCGTACACTGCGCCTCGCACCATCCATTATACTAAACCCGCAACCCACTATCTTACCCTAGGCACACCTACTAACCTACATCCGGAATCTGCACATACCATCCGTCACTTACACACCGTCGTTTGGACCTACGTATCCGCAACCCCGTAACCTCATTCTACGCACACAGTGCTTGGGAACTTTGCATACTTGGATCCCGCAGCGCCACGGTCTAGGAACACATCCCTTCGAGCCTAACGCGCCAGGAAGAACACGAATACCCATTCGCCCATAAGCCCACGGTTTCCCAGAGCCACACGGCGGCCCTTGTCTCTCCGACCAAACGCGCCCGGGTATACGGCGCTTGTCCGAGTATACCAACGATTCGACGAAGTAGCCGAGTGTAAGCAGGAGGAGGATTGTCTGTCCGAGCAAACGCATCGACCAACGCGGCCGAGTGTAACAACGATTCGACGACGTAGCCGCGTGACCGACAGGCGTTGACGCAGACGGCGTGACGGAGAAGGCCGTGACGCCGACGGGGTGACGGAAAAGGCGTTGACGTACAGGCGTGACCGGGAGACGCGTTGACGGCAGAGGCGTAGACGGAGAAGCGTTAACGGAGAAGCGTTGACGGAGAGACAGCGTTGACGGAGAACGGGGTGTGTGTATATGTTGTTGTTGTAGTGGCTGTTGTTGTTAATGAGCGGTGCAGTAGCAGCAGTAGTAGTAGTCCTACTTTTTTTTTTAAGCACGGGAATAGAGTGTGTTCAATATGCTCCGGGAATATGCCCCGGACATATTGAATTTTCTATGGTCATGGGATGATTATCTAAAGCACAGGCAGATAAACAACGGACACGAATATTGGGTAAGTCTTATTCTCTAGGAAGTTCAGAGACAAAGGGGAACTAATACATTTGTGCAGGCAGCGCGCATGTATACGTAACATATGCAGAAGTACACGCGCTGACCAACTGTTTATACACGTATCCTGCAAGTGAGTGAAGTATGTAGAAGGGCAACGGCAAAAAACACACACACTGCACACATCACCCAAGGACGCGTGTGCCAGTGCAGTAAAATATAAGAGTACGGCGACGTACGCACTATACATGTATGCATTATTCCACCTACAGCAAAAAATGCTCCAGGAGGTTGATGACATATTGAATCAGTTACTCAGCAAACTTGGGCAGCATAGCGGCCACATCGCTGGCTTCTGCGGGAGTATTGAAAACAAGAATCCGACATGCATAAAAAGGTGCAGGGAAATTGTAAATTTAATGATATACATGAACGGATATGATTTTAACAACGGAAACTGGCAGAAGCGACACACACACGCAGACAACAGGAGCAACTTTGACGAATATTTAGAGTGCACAGTGGCCGCGCAGATTTTATTACGGCTATATGGACGCAATAAAGAGCATAGGCACATTATAACGCAAGTTTCCGAAAGGTTAGAACACGGGGAAGACTTTCCGGGGAGTCAGCCATTCGAACAAGGATTGTGCGAGAACATAAATTTCGGGCCCATAATATTTCTATCGGGGAATATTCAACAAAGCTTGCACCAGAGCTTGCGCGAACAGTGGACACCAGCAAAGGTACCGGTTCGAAGCACATCAGGAAAATGTGGATGGGATGACACAGACGGCAATACGCAGAATGACGAAGAATGCAATGAGCAGGACGTGGTGATAACACAGGACGACCCGCTCATGCGCGATATACAGGAATTGGTGGATACTGGTACCTTTGAGCACGTGAAGAACGTGTTACAGGACATGCAGAAACCAGGGCAATCCCAGGGGAAATGCGACATACAGGATAAAATAAAGGACAAGATAAAGGACAAGGTCAACGACATGGAGAACAGAGTGCGAAAGACGGAAACGCCCTCTGTGAGAGGCGGGGTAGGCACACGGGGCTCAGCACCTAGAGGTGCACGGGGAGGAGGAAGAGGAGTCGGACGTGGTGGACTTGCACCAGGAGGAAGGGGAAGGGGGCTGCCTCCATCCAGCGCGGGATCACGCCCTGGAACAGGACCAGGAAGGAGACCACAGCCAGGTACAGGAATAGTAACAGGACCAGGACCAGATTCACCCCCGACGAAACCCACGGACGCACCTGCAACAACACAGGCTGCAGCATCACCGGCAACGGCGGCTAATGTGCCGGCTGGAACACCAGTACCACCAGGTAACGACCGATGGGAGAAAGCACGACTACGGCCTAATACGAATCATACGGCCGCACACGAACACGGCCGAATACGCATACGCAGCCCATACGACTGCGCATGGATGCCGCCACAACAACACGCACGCGGCGACCACGACGGCAACTGTAGCGGTGACAAGGCACATGACGAGGCACCGGAGACGGACGGAACGGGTCGGCGGACGACATGACGGCAACAACAAATACAACTTGTACTGCTACCATCCACCACGACTCAGTCAACCGAGTTCACCTCACCGTACGCGTGCTGCCGCCTGACCCAGTGCATCGAGTCCAGTCCACCGATTGCACCTCGACCCACTGCATCGACCCACTGCATCGACCCATGCAGCCGACCCTACCCTGCCGGTACCTGATCGAACCACACCACACCGTCGCGCCCCCTTCGTTCTGTACCACTGGTGACCTTTGTTTTTTTTATCATCTTTCTACAATGTTTCTTCCTTCTTTACTGTAGCGGACAAGACCAAAAAGACAGATGGGGACCCTGACAAGAAGAAGGCCGAGAGTAAAGAAGAGAAAACGCCGGAACACACTGATAAGGCAGGAACACCCCGCGCACCAGCACCTGCACCAGAGGGATCAGCGGGAGGAGCAGGAACAAACGTAGCAAGGAAGGAACCGGAGGAGGAACCACCTCCTCCCGCGCCGTCACCGGCCGCACCACCAGGACCACCACCAGCATCCGTGTCCCCCCAGGCAGAACCAACAGTAGTGGTGCCCGGGAAGGAGGCCACACCAGCACCAGGAAAGGACGGCCAACCAAGTACAGGGGGCCAAGGACCTAACAAGGATACCGCAGGTAAGATTCCTCTGGAGACTGCAAGCGCAGGGAGCGTCCATGTAAAATCTCCCAGGAGCGAAGAAGATTGTGGGAAACTTGGGCCTGACCCGGACAGAATTTCTGAGTGCCTGGAAACAGTACTGGAACCAAAAGTACACAATGTTAGCGTGCCCACCGACGAACCCGCTTCAGGGCAGTGGGGTATTCCCGGCAGTTCGGGTTCAACAACCATATCCATAGGAACTTCCACAACTACACAGAATGTACCAACAGGTACGAACAACGAACCCTCGGGACACCACCATAGAAAAAAAAAAAAAAAAAAAAAAAGCAACAACAATTTCCGGAGACACAGAGGGAAAGACACCACGGAGCGCGCGCAACCACACGTCGAATGAGCATGAAACCGGCACAGCGCCGAGGATCGACCGCTGGATGTAGACGTCGACGTCGACAGACGTCGACACACACACATTGTGTGTGTGTGTTGTGTGCTGTGTGGGAGAGAGAGAGTGTCTTTTCCCGGAGTGGCACCGTAACCAGCGTTCGCACCGTGGCACCAATGGTGCCAACCATCGGTTGCCGCCCGCGTAGCCGCACCATCGACCGCACACTTATGTTTCATCCTTCTAACTTCTTCTTTCCTGCCTAAATTGTCAGATACGGACACTACACGACGGTGGCAGAACGAGATACGCACGGCAAGAACGCCGATTCCGCAGGTGATAACGCGACGGAGACAGTCCAGGACACGGTGCAACGTACAACTCAGACAGGCCAGGTGTACACTAAGACAGAGGATGGGAAGGACACATTGGTATCAGGGACACCAAAAGTGGACATGCCCAAGGTTACAGAAGAAGTTGCGTCCTCGCCGCCTAACCCCCAACAAGAGGATGGTGCAGCGGGTACCAGGGGTCCCAGTCCAACCTCCGGTGCAGAAGGGAATGCCGTCGTCCATGACGGCAACGATGACCCCCCTCCGCTCAATCCACCCAAACCGAACCCGAACCCGAACCCCGATCAATCGGGTGCAAGCGGTAGCGGCGGCCCCACCAGCGGGGACGCGCCCTCAGGAGGTGGTGGAGGTGGGG